AGAATAAGATGTCAAGAGTTAGAGAGAAAAATGCTAAAAGCAGCGCATAAATAACGACACACTGCGAACGTTACAAGATATATACATATATAACATATATTTTATATATATATAAATGTATAAAGTGCATGGGTCACCAGCAACGAGGAGAAATAAATTGTATTTAGTTGGGCAATTTATGGGCAGCGGCAACAGCGCTAGAAGTGCAGTCGCAGCAGCAGATCGAGTTGAGTCTCTACACACACACACACTTACACACTCACAGACTCACACACATGCATAATTCAAAGGCATGTCAATGATGCAATCGGCGGCTTTCAGTGCTGCGCATTTTTTGAGAAGTCCTGAGAAGGCTAGAAATAAAAGCTAAACACTCATAGGGCGTAGCTATGTTATAGCTAAATATAGTAGCACGAAATAGCTAATTTTGAGCTAAGGGTAGGATTTATCAAGAAAAAAACTCTTCTTGTTCACTAATTACTCAATTAATATATATATATTATTATATACATAATATTTAATGTAAGTTAACAAAGTTTCGCTCGTTTTGTCGTGAAAATCAAGCTACTATCTGTCGGCGCTAAAAGTGCTAAGTGCGCATCACTATCTCAGCAGTCGCCTTCGCCGCTTGACGTTGATTTTGCTTTGTTGTTGTTGTTGTTGCGGGCAGCGTTGTCTTTGTTTCACTTGTTTACTTTGTTGTTTCGCTTCTTTTTTTTCAAATTATTTATTGCACACGCGGGGCATGCCCATGGGAGGGTGAGGGATCAGTCGAGAGCAATGGCTAATGTGTAATTCAATAGAGTAAATAATGTGCATCAATTTTCAGCTCAATAACGCATGGAATACAAATGCGAAACATGTGCAAATATGTGCACTCACACACAGACGGAGAGAGAGAAATAAATATCTAGCCACACACACAGACAGACACCGACAGACGCTCTATTTGCCTCTCGCTCGCACTTGCAGAGTCGTCAACATTTTGTGCGACGCGTTTCCGTTTCCGCTTTGCCTTGGCAGCCGCAATGTTTGCTCTTTGTCTTGGCAGCTCGCAGTTCGCAGCTCGCAGCTTTTTAGCCGCGTTTATTTGTTTTCGATGTTGTCTTGGCACACACACACACACATACACACCATTTGATTTTTGTTTCCCCTTCGCAACAGCGAGCTAAATGATCGCCGCCTGGAATGGCACTGCAACTGGAATTAATGTGCATCAATTCAATTGCCCATAAGTGCTGCATTTATGAGCAGCTATGCCACATTTGCATAACTGTAAACAGTTGCAAGGCAAATGGCTAAGATGCAACGACAACTGCATCAGCAGCAGCAGCAGCAGAGCCAACTCTACTGTGGCAGCCAACCAGCTAACCAATAATAACAACAAACAATGACTTAGTGTTGCCTTGGTGGAGTATGCTCGACTAGAAAATGCCCTGCAAACAGCTGATCTAAGTTGAAATATCTTTTGTGCTAAACTTGTGTTTCTGAAGGGTTTCTAGAGCAAGATAGAAAGGAGTAGATATAGATATTTTATCTGGATTATGAATTATAAGGACTTAGATAACTGAAACTCTAAATGTTGGTATTTTGTATTTGGATATTAAACTTTGATCTACGTCAAATTCTCTCACTCTACCCAAGCACAACTGCCTTTGCCTTGTGCACTTGCTGTATTTCCAGGGTATTAGCAGGCAAACAAATTGGTCGAAAACAAACTTGCAACGCCTTAGCCTATTGCGACAAGGCTCAGTTGACTGGCAACTGGCAACTGGCAACAATTGCTGCTGTTGTTGTTTCGGTGCTGCTTGCCACGCCCACACAGCCTTTGACTGGTTTTTGGCCAGCAAAAAATATGTTGCTTTATGTGGCAGCTGAGTAATTAACAGAGAACTTTGTTAACTGCCTGTAAGAGAAAGTGGAGAAAGCGGCAAACGGCAAACGGCAAATGGAGAAAGCCTTGAAGCCTCGATTTCATGCACCATTTGCTCGACTTTTGCTGTGTGTGTTGAGCTCTCAAGGATTTGTTGAGGCCAAATGCCACTGCAACAGCCATCAAGCATGCTTGCAGCAACTTTGTGGCATGTGCTAATAACACCTACGACACACACACACACGAAAACAAAAATCTAGTTTCGTTTGCTAGCAAAAATGCTCTGCAAAAGGCATTTGAGTAAATGGAAAGCTGCATTAATTGAATGGAAAATGGACAAAGTAAAGATTTTAATAGGCTTTTGTTTGTTTATGTAATTTTTTTGTCTATACTTCACCAGAATATAAAGATAAATTTAATCACATTATACATTTATTTTCGTTAATTTATTACTCTATTTCTGCATTTCTGCGAAATATGCTTAAATTATCAATTACTTTCGTTAAGTTTCTTCTCTGCTGACTCCATTTGTTAAGTTTCATCAAATATTTAAGCAAATTAAGCTAAAGTTCTCTTTCGTTAAATCAGAATAAAAAACTTTCATTTAGTTGCTCCACTCAAATTACCAAACGCTTTCGTTAAGTTTCTGTTTCATTAATGCTACGCTCTCTCTCTCACTCCCCTCTCCAACAGCCTGGCAAAGTACTGCATTACCGATCGCTTAGCCAAAGCTCTCTACGCTTCACAAAACACACACATACACGTTTCGCTTCTATCGTTCTCTCATGCCATTGGCCAAGCCGTATCACTCATCAATCAGAAGAACTCCACTCACTCACTCACACACACACACACACTTGCCAATGACTTGCAGTTAGTTCAGTTGTTCTTCTTACACTTTGTTGCCTTCCCTGAGCAATTTACACTGAGCACGTGCTATAAATTGGCCCTAGTCAGCGATATATAGCTGTATCTGGACATTATCACTTTGCCGGCTGACTTGTTCGCGCTGCACTTGCAGTTAATTAAAAAATGTTGGCCCAAGGATTTATGTGGGCTAATTGGATTTGGCCCACACGTGAATTTCAATTGCAGTTGCAATTTGTTGTATATATGTAAAAGTATGCGCGTGCGAGTGTGTGTGTGTGTGTGTGAAGCAAAAAGTCTTGAAGTGCTCTATCAACTCGACTTGACTGAGCCTATGCCTCTCCCTGTCTCGCTCTCTCGCCTTCTCTGGCTTAAGACAATTGCTTTGCTCTGCTCATAAATTTTGCTGCCAGACTGGAAAATTGCTTTCCAGCTGTTGATTGCGCTGCTAAACGTTGCCACTTATTAATTTGTTTATTATTCACCTCTAATCACTCGCACTCAATTCACCTCACCCCACTTCAGCTCATGCAGCGACTAATCCATAAAGCCGTTTAGCATTCAGCTCCAGCTACTGTCCATCTCTCTCTCTCACACACACGTTTGCTCTCTGGGTTGACAGGCAACAACAAATGTACAAAAATTTGTTAACATCAAAAAGTACATTAAAGGCTCAAGGAATGCGCTTTCGTGCGGAAATTGCTTACGTGCGCGGCATTAACAAATGACGTGCTGTATGCGACGGCCAACGGCGTATAAGAGTATAAGACTCACTTGCCTACACAACCCACCCCGCTCTCTCTCCCCGTCTCTGTCACCCACTCTCTCTTGCTGTTGCCCATGTTCTATTTGGGGTTGCGCCTTTGCGGTTGTGTGTGGAACGTGTGGAACTTGTCGCTTTGTCGCCTAGCCTTCAGCCATTGGCCATCAGTGGTGAGTTTATATGTGCGCTTATGCGCATATTCTGTATAAGCAACAAGTGTGTTGAGTTTTCATTGGCAGCAGTGGAGACTTTTTGTAGCGCAATGTTAAGCTGAACAGTGGACTGTTACGAGGGTGGTTGATGCGCTGCAGCAACGTCTACTTAACTGACAAACAAAATAATTAAAGGCAGCGAAAAAATGTGTAAAAAGAAAAAATACCAATTGCATTGCGAGCCACAATGTCGCTGACTGCGCTGCGCTGCTCGCTTCGCTGCTGCCATTGGCGTTGCTCGTGCAAAGCTTTTCATATTACAACAAAGGCCAAAGGCGACACAATACAAGCGCTTGACCAATCCCTTCCACTCTCTCATGCCACACACACGCACACATGCATGTTTGTATGTACAAATAACATCTCAGTTTTCACACTTGCTGCAGTTGCAGTGGCTACGCCGTGTCAGTTGCTGTTTTAATATAAAATACCCTGTAGGAAAATGTATTTGTAACGGGGTATTATGCAGCAAATTTGTTTGCAGTATTTGTATGCTTACAACAGAACAGAAGAAAAAAAATAAATAAGAAAATTGCTATTAAAAATAAAAGAATAACATATTTTTATTGTTTAATTTTTTTTTTTTTAATTTAAAAAAATTATAAATTATAAATAAAAATAATTGAATTAAATTCAATTTAGTTAGCATAAATAATAGAAACTATATAAATCGAATTAATATATTATTTTAATATTTTCATTATTTTATTTTATTTTTAGAATAAAAAAATTATGAATAATTAACTAAATCTTTTGTTAATGATTTTGACTCTGCTGGACTTGAAATAGAAGCTTTTCAAGGAATCGAATCGTTTCTGTTTCCCAGTTTGCAGCATAACTTGCCGTGAAGCATTGTGATGAGGCATGCTTCAGCTGCACAGAATTCACAGCGCAGCGCTGTGCAGTGGGAGTTGATGTGAGCGGGCCTTGAGGCGGCAAAGGCGACGTTCGTCAGTTTGGTGGATATAAAATGTCAATAAGCTCCAATAACGCAATTGAAAGACTGAGGCAGCTTCTGCTGTGGCAGTGTCAGTGTCAGCGGCAGCAGGGACAGCGAAAATGACACGCAAAGACAGGGGGTGGTGCAAGGGGCAAGGATGGGAGCGAGTGCTCTGCAGGGCAACATTAAGGGGCTTGCAGGCTGCCCAGCGAGCCGTGTGGCAAGTTCCTCAGCGCAGCTATGCGGCTCATGTTGCAACAATCTCACCCTGCCATGCATGCTGCCCCGCGGCAGCTGCCAAGTAATTTCAAGCTTAAAGAAACTGCAAATTGATTACGCGCTGAAAATGCGGTGGGCGTGGCCTTTATTGCAAATAACTGAAGAGCACTTCAAAATAACAGTTAACAAACAGGACAAACATCAGACGCGCGCCTCCCTCTGCCGCGCAACGAGCTGCTGGCTATTGCTGCCACTGCGCGAGTGCGGCGGCGGCGGCGGCGGCAGCTCGCGCATCTCCTCAGAGGAACGGCCCAGCACGATGCGACGCGACGACTTCGGTGTGGGCTCCAAGGACTTCTGGAGCGACGGACGCGGCGTGGAGGCGGCCAAGCTGGGAGAGGGCGTGCCGCTTACAATGGGCTTCTTGTTGTTCCACACGCAGAGCACGAAGCGCAGTTCCTTAATCAGCGCTTGCTTATAGGTGAGCTGGCAATGGATGAGAGCGAGAGCGAGGGAAGTATTAATAATGAGCAAATGAGATGATCTGTATAAGAGAGACTGAGAGAGAGAGACTGAGAGAGAGATGTGACATATCTGCCTAAGAAATTATCAGATTTTGATTATATTTTCTTCATAAGATCTTTAATCTATGTAAAAAGGAAGGGCTCAGGATAAAGATACATGATACATGATATATGATATATGATATATGATATATGATATATGATATATGATATATGATATATGATATATGATATATGATATATGATATATGATATATGATATATGATATATGATATATGATATATGATATATGATATATGATATATGATATATGATATATGATATATGATATATGATATATGATATATGATATATGATATATGATATATGATATATGATATATGATATATGATATATGATATATGATATATGATGTATGATGTATGATGTATGATATATTATATTATATATGATATATGATATATGATATATGATATAGTCCAGTCCAAGTCAGAGCTCGTTGAGGCTAGACTAAAATGTTACCTTTACTAAGGAAAGCAGACACAGTTGTACAGTTACACAGCTTTAGAAACTACTCACGCGCTCCTCCAACGCCACCTGCCCCACAAAGACCATAAATTCGGTAATGCCAATGATGAAGGCAATCAGAATGCCCACGTAGAGCGTGTAGAAAATGCCGCGTAGCTCCTCGAAGTTCATGTCGGGCGTGGCGTCCGGATCGGGCTCCTCCATGCAGGTGGAGTTCGAGTTCTTCCACCACTTTTGCTTCAGATTATAAAGTTCGCCTTGTTCGCTCAGCCGCAAGATGGCGACACTCAAGTTGGACCGATACTCCGCCCCGAAGGGCACGGCAATCGCATAATGCTTCTCGCCGAACTTCTCGCCGACGGAGCGCAAGTCGCAGTGCTGTTCGCGATTGTACTCCAGCGTGGTGGTTTCCATGAGGAACATATAGTCGCCCATGCTGGTCAGGACGCGCTCGACGCCCTCGTCGTTGTCCTTGGTGTAGGCCGACGGATCATCGTTGTTCATCAAGTTGAAGGCCAAGCGATAAACCGTTTCATTTGAATCCGCCAGCAGGTTGTAGGTGCTGCCGCCGTAAATCGTGCCGAATTTGACAGCCTTCTGTGAGCTGAGACCCTTGAGGTCCGTTATGCTGCCCTCCATCTTGGAGCTGGTCAAGAAGGCAGCCAGGTTGGCGGTGTACGAGTTGGCTATGATAATGGCAAAGATCCACCAGGTGGCCTCGAAGAGACGCACCTGCGGACTGCGCGGCAAGATGTCACAGCCAGCCGTCATGATGGAGGCCACGGTCAGCCAGAAGGTGTTGTGCAGATGCCACTGATTCTCCAGCGCATCCGGATCACGATTGCACGGATGCGGATTCTCCCACTCCGCCTTGGCGATACTAAGAGAAACGTCAAATTATGCACGCTGCGGCTTCTTAGTCGGGGTCGACTTACCGCGCTATGATCACCTTTAGAAAGGACATGGCAAACACCGAGATGAGTATCCACACCCAGACCGAGCCGCCAAATGGCTCCAAGAAGGCGTGCAGCTCCTTCTCCTTGGGCGGACTCTTGTAGGCCAAAATGCTGACGCCCAGCTGCATAAAGGGCACCGTAAAATCTACCGCAGTGCGACGTGCTTGAGTGATGGTCAGGTCACAGATGCCCATGTGGGCGTCCTGCAGAGGGAAATTGAATTTAAATGGGATTTTGCTTTCAAATATTTATTAACTTAAAAAGAAGCTTAAGATGCACATAAACTAGAAGGATGTGAAGTCTTAAAGTGATCTAAAGCCAATATATGGATTTATTATATTTGAAGCAAGGAAAGTGAATATAAAAATTCATCAACTTAGCTAAGACTTCATTTAGAACAAGTGAAAGATATTTAATTGATGAAAAAACATTGACAAAAATAACATTTTTTAAGTTATGTTTCAAAAACTTTCTAAGCAAAACACTTCAAGTCCTGGTTATAAGTCTTAAGCCAGATTAAAAATCCTTTTAGACTTAGTTAGTTGAAAGTGTTTAAAGCCAGGAAATGCAGACAAATTTCTATAACATTCGAAGACAAATGTCTCTTATAGCTAAGAGTCAATTTAAGTCTATTTAAGCCAAGATATTTAAGGCTTAAACTGTTCATGTTTGAGTTTTTCATTATAAAACAAAATCAAACTAAAAACTTTAAAGCAAGATTAAGACGAAAAGCGCAAATTTCTAAGACAGACTAAGCTGAGCTCAAACAGCTAAACTATTTTAAATTTGTTTCTCTACTTTACACTATACTATATATATATATACTATATTCATTCTACACACTCCACACTTTATTCATTATCCAAATAGTTTCACGATCTACTCACATTGTTGATAATTTCACCAATGATGCCATTCCATTGCTTGGTGTCCTTGTCCTGCTTGCCATACTGCTGATCGGCGACTGGCACGAAGACGTACTCGAAGCCCACCTCATTGGCAATGGCATCGATAAGGTCCACGGCATAGCCCTGATAGATGGCATTGCCTGTCATATTTAGCTCCATGGCCGTTTCATTGCGACTGAAGTAGGGCGGGCCGATGCGCGTGGCGACGCGATAGACAATTTTCTTCTGCACCTTCATCTCGACGTCGAGAAGTGTGATTTGGCCCCTCGTATCCCAGACGGCCACACCTATATTATCCGTGGGATCATAAATTTCAATATTGAAGTTAATCCGCTGTCCATCCTCGTCAAATTGCAAATGGCTGGTGCGAAAGTTAGAGCTGCCCACGCCGGAAGTCTGCGGCGCATGGATTAAAGTGTTAATGCAATCAGGAACAGAATCCGTGTTCATCCCTTTTCCACTCACCCCCTTCATTAGGCGCGTCAAATAGCGACCCATCTGCCAGGACCGACCGCCCGCAGCGGCCGAGTCACAATTCAAGCGCGGCACCAGCATTCGATCCGGATAGAAGTAGGAAGCGTTGCGCCAGGCCTGCACAAACAGCTGAAGTCCATCGTAGAGCAGGTCATGTAGCAAAGTGCGCGGCGGCTCAGGGTTCTCGGAGACAACGTTGTCTCGCTGCGTTACATAGCCATACAGCTGAAAGTGCTGCAAGGAGAAGACGTCACTAATGGACTGGGATATGAGCAATATATAAACAGCTGACTTACTGGCGGCGGCTCTGGATTGAGCAGCAGTCGAGCTGCTGTTATATTCACAGCAAATGTTTCATTGTCTGCCGTTAGGTCCTCTAAATGGTCGTTGTACGTCTCTAGATTGGTGAGGAAAATGTGCTGAGAATGAGGTTGAGGTAAAAAAAACATATTTATGAATATGTTATGTATGAGAAAGCTAGTGCCATATCCAGAAAATAACCAAGAATTTCAACAGTCTTTAATTGTTCGAATCGATATTTATCGATTTTCGAGAAAAGGGCTAACTTCTCAGAATCTTTAATATGCTTTATATGCAAACAAAATTATAAAAGTTCTAGAGCAAAATAACTACATATCGATAATTATCGATTTTATACAGACGACTTGATATGAACTTGGGCTTAAAATGGTAAAAAGGTAAGAAGGTAAAGAGAGCATAAAATAGAAAAAAATATAAGAGCATGAAGATATCATCGATATTAATATATATTAATCGATATCAATCTATATTAATCGATAACATTCGATATCAATCGATAATATTCGATATTGATCGATTTTAATCGATATCAATCAATAATAATCGATATTAATCGATTTCAGAGAAATCGACTTTGCATTGCATCTGAAAACATCCAATTCTCAAAGCCAGCCAAACAAGTGAATCACCTAAGACTTTGCCCGCGACAGACATTGCCAGGCAAGTATACCCTCTACCTTAAATACAGGGTATTCACTCACATTAAACTGTCCCGTCAGTCCAAACTCGGAAGAGGAGTTGAGCAGCTCGACGAGCATATCGGGCGCACAGTCGAGCACCACACGACGCTCGCCTTTGATGCTCTTCCACATGACGCGAAAGTCGTCGCCCTTCTGATATTTGCGGACTCGAACCACATCGTTGTGCACCTCGCGCAACTGCAGCAGATCCTGCAGACGAGCAGAGGCCCTGGCTAACAGAGCACTCAGTTAGTTGAAGAGTGAGTGGAATCGCTAATGGGCCACTTACCATCGTCTGCATCATAGACTATTGTGAACTTACGCCAACCGAAATTATGAACTATATCCGCGTAGGCCTTCGAGAGTATTAGCTGCGAGGGATACATATTGAGCGTCATCTGATGGTTGGGCTTCTCCTCCATGTGCTCCTCGTCGGCCACATCGAACTCTATGTGGGGTACGCCAGAATTGTTGGCCACCAAGGCAACGATATCTGAGAGGAAGGGTGGATATTTTAGATCAGGTAATAAGTATACTTGAATGATAGAGATCACTGAATACTGAGGTATGTTATCTTAGATCTAGCTGAAGCAAATATAGAGAAACAGAAAAGGCAGACAATTAATGAGGACAGATCATCACTGTATTCCATAGGTAATTTCTATTATAGCTTTATGATTTAGTCGTTCGAATCTCTGCGCTTTAAGACATGCGCCGTCTATATCCAAAGAAACAGCTGTATCAAATATCCCCAAGATTGCTTCACTGAAAGCTGAGTTCATATAGATATTCTCCAACATGCATCAGCATTTTAGTAAGCTTTTATTCTCTATTGACAAACAAACGTATTTGGCTTTTTGCTTTGTTTACCATTCGCTGACGAGCTTTTACCGAACTGTTCTCTTGTCTATGCATATGGAACGCCAATGGATCGTGTAGCCCCGCCCCTTGGTACTCACCGCTGGCCGATTGTGAACTTGGTCCAAAAATAACTGCGACACCATTATCTATGAGATCGCATGCTGAAAGCGAAGAGTTTTTTTTTAGTATTTTTTATGTTTTAAGAGCTTTTTTCATATTTATTGGGGAATAGCTGAAAGTTCGCACCGTATTCCTGCAGAATAACGCTTCCATCTTCGGGCTTCAGGCGTTTTATCAACGGATTAAATCTTAACGTTTGCTCCGCTTCGGGTCCATTAATGGAATTTACAACAGCCAGAAATTCCTTTTCCAGCTCCAGTTCATTGTCATAGAAAAAGGCGCCTAAAAGGGGGTTACATAGTGTGTGACTATATGCATATATATATATATATATAACTGTATATGTAGTTGCCCCACCAATGTTGATTTCTTGCTGCAGAGTTTCGTGCAACAAAAATGCACTCCACATGCAGCACAACACAATAATTCCATGCCACATTTTTGTCTCTTTTTTCTGGAATTTTCAGCACATTGCGGCAAAACAAATATTTGAACAAATTTTAGGGCACAAAATATTTTATGTTTTACGTTGCGAACGCTTTGAAAGTGAGTCGGAAACTGAGCAGCTTTTTCACGATTTTCATTTGAGCGATCGCAGCGGGAAATTCGTCAGCGGCGGTGTTTTTGTTTTTTTTTTTTTTGTCTTTTTGGAAAAGCTTTTCATCAGCTGTTCCAGATGTTGTCGAAACAGCTGCGCAATGGAACGCAATCATTTTTGATTAATTTATTAAAGTTATGTTATTTTATGCCTCAACAACTTCTTCTTTCCTTCATGCTATATATATATGGAATTATATATGGAATTTATATTTCAAATAAATATTTAGATTTTAAATATAAATTCCATATTATATTAATATTATTCATAACTGAAATTCAAAAGTAATTTCCCTCAATATTTTACACTGAAAAATATGATCTGTTTACTTCAATTAACTTTTATTATCTGCAAAGTATACAAAATTAAGATTTTATCAAGGATTAATGCTAATATTAATTCTAATATATTTTCCATTTATTTCAATCATCTAATGCATTTATAAAGCAATACTCCAGGCTTTTGTTGATTACAGGGTATATAAAACTGTAATACACTAAGGATTAGCTAAGCATTAGAAATAATAAACAGAATGGAATTATTATTGAATCACCACTGATCATGATTCCACATAATAGGCATACCCTTTCACACTTGCATTAGCTATAGGGTATACAAAACTTATACCTAAGCAAACATCTCTCTCAGCTTCCCTCATCTTTATCACTCTTAAACTAGAGAGTCTCTCTTACAGTTGATGTCCTAATAAGAAAGGCAACATTATTATTGAAGAACAGACCCGCTAGTGTTGTATACATTTTCCACTATCAATATTTACAGGGTATACACAAACTATAATGCAACAAGGATTACACGTAAAAGCCGCAACGTTTCGCACCTTTTTCAGTTGATTCCTTCAATCGTCCACAGCATTTATCATAATCAAGCAAACACAGTTTGTGTTTTTAGTCCAAATGCCACGCCCACTCCCTGCCCGTAACAGTTCAGTTGTCGGCTTATTTCTGGTCTATGGAAATGAATATAAACGGTCTTTTTGCATTATCCTTAGCTGCTGCCTGTCTGGCAGGCTGGCAGGCTGCCCTCCTCTCTCAGCCGCCGCCCGCTACCTGTTGGCCTTTGTCGACAAATTATTCAAATTTCGGCTGCAGCTCGAAAAAAGGTTGACTTCGGCATGAAACGTGTTTGGCATCAATAAAACGCTGAAGGCAAACAGAGCAAAGGCTAAAATGACACCAGCGGCCATATTGTTGCTTGTTTTTCGCGTCGCACACACACACGCACACACACACACGCTCGCACACACCATTAAAATATGTTAATGTGCGTGTGTTTTTAGTGAATGTGTTTTCTATGCAAATTTATAGCGTTGGCAGCGCTTGTCGTCATTTTGCTGCCTTTCCTCCTGCCACGCCCCCAACGCTGTCCTTTATTGGGTTTTATTCCATGAAAAATTGACACCTCATCACTTTTCAATCGCAATCAATGGCCCACAGCCACACCCCAAATTCACACACACGCACACTCACGACTGTAACTGGTTTTGCCTGCGTGTGATTGAGGTGCGCCCCACCATTAAGGACAATAGTGCTGCCATTGACACGTTCAGCACCCGCCATCTGCTCCAGTTGCCCAGCTCCCTGGGGAGCTAATAGTTGTGCTCTTTGTCAGGCGCCAGGCATTTTTTATACAATTGGTTGACAAAAGAGTTAACGTTTTGATTGAAATTTTATTTATTTCCTTATACGATGCAAACTTTGAGCTGGCTGAACCAAATTAATAGCTATGCCTTTATATCTATAAGTAGCAATCAGCAAAGCTGATGCTGCTTTTTATATGTATAGGCTATTAAGGAAAGCCTTTCAGAACTGATATCTATTTATATATATAATCAAAACAAGAAATAATAAGAAGCTTTAATAACTTAAAATCTTCTTTTAGTGTATTTAAAAATAAAGTAAATAAATAAGTAAAATTATTAACAGTAAAGTAAGCACTGTGAACAAATTATTTAATACTTAATTTAATATATTAACTCGACTCAGTTGTATTTTTTATATATACAAAAAAAGATCTACAGCAGGCTTTAACAAAATCAACTGCTTTTAAGACTACAGCAAATAGAAAAAAAAATAATTATACAACTTTTATTGTTATTAATAGGAAATATAATTGCTTGCCTTATAAACATAACTAAAAACTTATATGAAACTTAATATTTGTTCTGCTGCATACATCTTTAGCCAAGATAACTCAAAGTTTCTATCATCAAATTCCACTTAGTTCATCTACTTTTTAAAACATTTGTGCAGCGTATTAAAATGTCTTCATTCAGGCAATTTTTGCCATTGGCTTGCTTTGCAAATGAAATTGGACAAGCAAATGCAGCTGTGAGGTGAACCAGGCCAAGCTAGAAAAATTGAGAGAGAAATAAACGAGAAAGAAACGCGTAAAAAATGGCAGAGCAAAGCACTTACAAAACATTTTCTATTACACACAATATTTATGGTTATCATGCAGTGGCAGTGGCAGTGGCAGTGGCAGTGGCAGTCAAAGCAACAACAGCAACATGCTCACATATGAAATAAACTGGCAGTCAGACAGAAAACATAGTTGGACAGAACAGTCGGCGAGACCGACAACAAATCCAAATTCAAGTCCAAATCCAGTTCGCAACTGCGGAAGAATCCTGCTAAAAGTTTGCGTTAGGTAACAGGAGCAAAGGGCGACGCAGCAGCAGAAGCAGCAGCAGTAGGAAAAAAACTTTTTAATACTTGCCATAATGTTGCCAAAAGGATTATCCAAAAGAATGACTTTTAATGGAGACAGGAAGTAAGCGCATAACAGACAGAAGTATTAACTGTTTCCTTCCGCCCAACCACTGTGCCCCACCTTGTTGCCAATGAGGTGGCTAGCCAGCGAGTCCTAGAGTCCTGCCCGGGATAACCACACATACAAATGTCAGTGGCTAAGCGTTGCCAGCTAATGTTGTTGTTGTTGCTGCTGCTGCTGGGATTTGGTCCATAGTTGAGAGTGTGTGTGGCACATAAGCCGTGCGGAAATATTGCAGTTTGCTCATAACGGCAGGGTGGTCGAAGAGCTTATGCTTATTTTTATTTCATACAGCCAAAACATGCCCAGTGTCTTCCCGGAGCACAGGCTTAAGCTGAGTTCTTCCTAAGCCTCTTCTATGCTATATCGAGTTTTGCACTGTGGTCCAATAAATGTGAACTTTTTGTGCATCGAATTGGATATTTAAAAATTCAACGAAATTTTTTTTCTGATTTGCAACTAAAATGCGACTTTGTCGTGGTCTGAGATGTGGATGCAAAGGATCGAGACAGAGTCCAAAATATGAGCGTTATTTTAATAGTTCGTTCTTAAAGTTTAAATTATTAAACAGAAAAGATGCGTCGACAATCAAAATAAGACTTTATTTATAATTGTTATTAATTTGTTAAGTATTTATATTTATTACTTCATTAATTTGATTCGAAAATTAGTCAATGTTTGTTGCATTAGCTAGTTAAGCTTGAACCTTAGTTTCACATGCATTTTTAGCTTAAGCATAATTAAAACTGATTGAAAAAATGTTTTTTTTTTGAAAGTTAGAGTAAAAAAATTAAGAAATATATAATATATAAATCATATATAAGTTATAAAGTTGGCTATAGCAGGGCTTGAACCTAGTGCACAAATATTCAAGTCTTCCATATAAATCGGGAGTTAATATTCATATTAGTTCAAGCTGTCAAATGTAATCCCAAGCTAATAAAATTACAAGTTTAAATTCTGAGCAACTGTTAAGCTGAGCAAGCTTAAGCCCAAAGAACAGCCTCGCAATGATTTGAGCTGTTAGCCATAGAGAAGCTATTTTTAATGGGCGTCTATACCTCACACACAGACAGGGCTCAAGTCGATATGTAAAACTAAAATTTCATGCACAAGCTGGATTTTAGAATTTCAGTCACAGTCTGTCTTCAGACACTAGCTCTAATCAAGCACAATTACCTAAGCTCAACTTTACTGCCATAAAAAACTTCAACTCCAATCAAACATGATTGCCCAACATATAACTCAGGCTCAATTTGTGCCCACATCACTTGCCCGCCTGTGCCACTGTGCACGGGTCGTAGCTGCTGCGTGCATTAGCTGCTGGCATTTCCAATACAGTTATCCCCATATAGACAGGTATTTGCCAGGGCAGGGCAGGGCAAGGCGGCGCAGTTGGCTTTCGCTGCTGGCCTCGCCGCGCGGCATTCTTTAATATATATTTTGCGCTCATTTTGCATTTTAATGAGTTTAGCCGCGTTGCGTTGCTGAAATATGAGGCCGCGATGACAGTGGCGCCCAGCCGTTGCTTGAGTCACTTTTTCTGCTATTTTTTCACATTTTTCTTCCTCTTCTGCTGCCGCTCTATTATTCTAAGAAAGTGCGCTAAGACGGTTTAACAACGCGCCGTCGTGCTGGCAGCTGCCTGCTGCAGGATATTGCTTTAATTGAAATTTATGCTAAATAGATTGACACTAATGAGCAATGGCTGCTGCTGCCGCTGCTGCTGCTGCTGCTGCTGCTGCTGCTGCTGCTGCTGTTCCTGTTGAGGTAATTCCAGTAGCTACCTAGATAGCCAAGGCCAGAAACCATCTACATAATTAAATTGCTTTCCACTCACATTTTTTGCGCTGCTTGTTTTTTGGCCTCGGTTTGGTGTCAACTGAAAATATTATTATGATTCTAGTTATTTTTTCCTTTGGCTTTTCGCTCTCTCCACATTTTCCGACTCACAATTTGCATGGCCAACAAAATGGCGACTTCCGTTTTGGCTAAGTGCTGGATTTCCGTTCCGGATGTGACTTTTACGACATGTTGTTGCGCCTTACAAGTTTCTCTCAGATCTATAACAGCATCGATCTGGCCCTCCTCTCACGCTCCCCTTCTCTGTCTCTCTCTCTCTCTCTCGCTCTCTCTCACTCCTGCAGGTTCCTTT